CTGGTGGCTGGGCCTGGCTGGTAGGCTGGGCCTCCTGGCTGGTGGCTGGGCCTCCTGGCTGGTGGCTGAGCCTCCTGGCTGGTGGCTGAGCCTCCTGGCTGGTGGCTGAGCCTCCTGGCTGGTGGCTGGGCCTCCTGGCTTGTGGGCTGAGCCTGACTGGTGGCTGAGCTGGCTGGTGCTGGCTGAGCCTCCTGGCTGGTGGCTGAGCCTGGCTGGTGGCTGAGCCTCCTGGCTGGCGGCTGAGCCTCCTGGCTGGTGGTTGAGCCTGACTGGTGGCTGAGCCTGGCTGGTGGCTGAGCCTCCTGGCTGGTGGCTGAGCCTGGCTGGTGGCTGAGCCTGGCTGGTGGCTGAGCCTGGCTGGTGGCTGAGCCTCCGGCTGGTGGCTGAGCCTCCTGGCTGGGTGGCTGAGCCTCTGGCTGGTGGCTCAGCCTCCTGGCTGGTGGCTGAGCCTCCTGGCTGGTGGCTGAGACTCCTGGCTGGTAGCTGAGCCTGGCTGGTCGCTGAGCCTCCTGGCTGGTGGCTGAACCTCCTGGCTGGTGGCTGAGCCTGGCTGGTGGCTGGGCCTCCTGGCTGGTGGCTGGGCCTGGATGGTGGCTGGGCCTCCTGGCTGGTGGCTGGGCCTCCTGGCTGGTGGCTGAGCCTGGCTGGTGGCTGAGCCTGACTGGTGACTGGGCCTGGCTAATGTCTGAGCCTGGATGGTAGCTGAGCCTGAATGGTAACTAAGCCTGGCTGGTGGTTAAACCGGCTTGTGGTTGAGCCTCCTGGCTGGTGGCTGAGCCTGGCTGGTGGCTGGGCCTGGCTGGTGGCTGAGCCTGGCTGGTAGCTGAGCCTGGCTGGTGGCTGAGCCTGGCTGGTGGCTGAGCCTGGCTGGTAGCTGAGCCTCCTGGCTGGTGGCTGAGCCTCCTGGCTGGTGGCTGAGCCTGGCTGGTGGCTGAGCCTCCTGGCTGGTGGCTGGGCCTCCTGGCCGGTCGCTAAGCCTGGCTGGTGGCTGAGCCTGGCTGGTGGCTGAGCCTCCTGGCTGGTGGCTAAGCCTGGCTGGTGGCTGAGCCTGGCTGGTGGCTGAGCCTGGCTGGTGGCTGAGCCTGGCTGGTGGCTGAGCCTGGCTGGTGGCTGAGCCTCCTGGCTGGTGGCTGAGCCTCCTGGCTGGTGGCTGAGCCTCCTGGCTGGTGGCTGAGCCTCCTGGCTGGTGGCTGAGCCTCCTGGCTGGTAGCTGAGCCTGGCTGGTGGCTGAGCCTCCTGGCTGGTGGCTGAACCTCCTGGCTGGTGGCTGAGCCTGGCTGGTGGCTGGGCCTCCTGGCTGGTGGCTGGGCCTGGATGGTGGCTGGGCCTCCTGGCTGGTGGCTGGGCCTCCTGGCTGGTGGCTGAGCCTGGCTGGTGGCTGGGCCTCCTGGCTGGTGGCTGGGCCTCCTGGCTGGTGGCTGAGCCTGACTGGTGGCTGAGCGTGGCTGGTGGCTGAGCCTCCTGGCTGGTGGCTGAGCCTGGCTGGTGGCTGAGCCTCCTGGCTGGTGGCTGAGCCTCCTGGCTGGTGGTTGAGCCTGACTGGTGGCTGAGCCTGGCTGGTGGCTGAGCCTCCTGGCTGGTGGCTGAGCCTGGCTGGTGGCTGAGCCTGGCTGGTGGCTGAGCCTGGCTGGTGGCTGAGCCTCCTGGCTGGTGGCTGAGCCTACTGGCTGGTGGCTGAGCCTCCTGGCTGGTGGCTCAGCCTCCTGGCTGGTGGCTGAGCCTCCTGGCTGGTGGCTGAGACTCCTGGCTGGTAGCTGAGCCTGGCTGGTCGCTGAGCCTCCTGGCTGGTGGCTGAACCTCCTGGCTGGTGGCTGAGCCTGGCTGGTGGCTGGGCCTCCTGGCTGGTGGCTGGGCCTGGATGGTGGCTGGGCCTCCTGGCTGGTGGCTGGGCCTCCTGGCTGGTGGCTGAGCCTGGCTGGTGGCTGAGCCTGACTGGTGACTGGGCCTGGCTAATGTCTGAGCCTGGATGGTAGCTGAGCCTGAATGGTAACTAAGCCTGGCTGGTGGTTAAACCTGGCTTGTGGTTGAGCCTCCTGGCTGGTGGCTGAGCCTGGCTGGTGGCTGGGCTTGGCTGGTGGCTGAGCCTGGCTGGTAGCTGAGCCTGGCTGGTGGCTGAGCCTGGCTGGTGGCTGAGCCTGGCTGGTAGCTGAGCCTCCTGGCTGGTGGCTGAGCCTCCTGGCTGGTGGCTGAGCCTGGCTGGTGGCTGAGCCTCCTGGCTGGTGGCTGGGCCTCCTGGCCGGTCGCTAAGCCTGGCTGGTGGCTGAGCCTGGCTGGTGGCTGAGCCTCCTGGCTGGTGGCTAAGCCTGGCTGGTGGCTGAGCCTGGCTGGTAGCTGAGCCTGGCTGGTGGCTGAGCCTCCTGGCTGGTGGCTGAGCCTGGCTGGTGGCTGGGCCTGGCTGGTGGCTGAGCCTGGCTGGTAGCTGAGCCTGGCTGGTGGCTGAGCCTGGCTGGTGGCTGAGCCTGGCTGGTGGCTGAGCCTCCTGGCTGGTGGCTGAGCCTACTGGCTGGTGGCTGAGCCTGGCTGGTGGCTGGGCCTGGCTTTTGGCTGAGCCTGGCTGGTTGCTGAGCCTGGCTGGTGGCTGAGCCTCCTGACTGGTGGCCGCACCTGGCTGGTGGCTGAGCCTTCTGGCTGGTGGCTGAGCCTGGCTGGTGGCTGAGCCTCCTGGCTGGTGGCTGGGCCTCCTGGCTGGTGGCTGAGCCTGACTGGTGGCTGAGCCTGGCTGGTGGCTGAGCCTCCTGGCTGGTGGCTAAGCCTGGCTGGTAGCTGAGCCTGGCTGGTGGCGGAGCCTCCTGGCTGGTGGCTGAGCCTCCTGGCTGGTGGCTGAGCCTCCTGGCTGGTGGCTGAGCCTCCTGGCTGGTGGCTGGGCCTCCTGGCTGGTGGCTGAGCCTGACTGGTGGCTGAGCCTGGCTGGTGGCTGAGCCTCCTGGCTGGTGGCTGAGCCTGGCTGGTGGCTGAGCCTCCTGGCTGGTGGCTGAGCCTCCTGGCTGGTGGTTGAGCCTGACTGGTGGCTGAGCCTGGCTGGTGGCTGAGCCTCCTGGCTGGTGGCTGAGCCTGGCTGGTGGCTGAGCCTGGCTGGTGGCTGAGCCTGGCTGGTGGCTGAGCCTCCTGGCTGGTGGCTGAGCCTCCTGGCTGGTGGCTGAGCCTCCTGGCTGGTGGCTCAGCCTCCTGGCTAGTGGCTGAGCCTCCTGGCTGGTGGCTGAGACTCCTGGCTGGTAGCTGAGCCTGGCTGGTCGCTGAGCCTCCTGGCTGGTGGCTGAACCTCCTGGCTGGTGGCTGAGCCTGGCTGGTGGCTGGGCCTCCTGGCTGGTGGCTGGGCCTGGATGGTGGCTGGGCCTCCTGGCTGGTGGCTGGGCCTCCTGGCTGGTGGCTGAGCCTGGCTGGTGGATGAGCCTGACTGGTGACTGGGCCTGGCTAATGTCTGAGCCTGGATGGTAGCTGAGCCTGAATGGTAACTAAGCCTGGCTGGTGGTTAAACCTGGCTTGTGGTTGAGCCTCCTGGCTGGTGGCTGAGCCTGGCTGGTGGCTGGGCCTGGCTGGTGGCTGAGCCTGGCTGGTAGCTGAGCCTGGCTGGTGGCTGAGCCTGGCTGGTGGCTGAGCCTGGCTGGTAGCTGAGCCTCCTGGCTGGTGGCTGAGCCTCCTGGCTGGTGGCTGAGCCTGGCTGGTGGCTGAGCCTCCTGGCTGGTGGCTGGGCCTCCTGGCCGGTCGCTAAGCCTGGCTGGTGGCTGAGCCTGGCTGGTGGCTGAGCCTCCTGGCTGGTGGCTAAGCCTGGCTGGTGGCTGAGCCTGGCTGGTAGCTGAGCCTGGCTGGTGGCTGATCCTCCTGGCTGGTGGCTGAGCCTGGCTGGTGGCTGGGCCTGGCTGGTGGCTGAGCCTGGCTGGTAGCTGAGCCTGGCTGGTGGCTGAGCCTGGCTGGTGGCTGAGCCTGGCTGGTGGCTGAGCCTCCTGGCTGGTGGCTGAGCCTACTGGCTGGTGGCTGAGCCTCCTGGCTGGTGGCTGAGCCTCCTGGCTGGTGGCTGAGCCTCCTGGCTGGTAGCTGAGCCTGGCTGGTGGCTGAGCCTCCTGGCTGGTGGCTGAACCTCCTGGCTGGTGGCTGAGCCTGGCTGGTGGCTGGGCCTCCTGGCTGGTGGCTGGGCCTGGATGGTGGCTGGGCCTCCTGGCTGGTGGCTGGGCCTCCTGGCTGGTGGCTGAGCCTGGCTGGTGGCTGGGCCTCCTGGCTGGTGGCTGGGCCTCCTGGCTGGTGGCTGAGCCTGACTGGTGGCTGAGCCTGGCTGGTGGCTGAGTCTCCTGGCTGGTGGCTGAGCCTCCTGGCTGGTGGCTGGACCTCCTGGCTGGTGGCTGGGCCTCCTGGCTGGTGGCTGAGCCTCCTGGCTGGTAGCTGAGCCTGGCTGGTGGCTGAGCCTCCTGGCTGGTGGCTGAACCTCCTGGCTGGTGGCTGAGCCTGGCTGGTGGCTGGGCCTCCTGGCTGGTGGCTGGGCCTGGATGGTGGCTGGGCCTCCTGGCTGGTGGCTGGGCCTCCTGGCTGGTGGCTGAGCCTGGCTGGTGGCTGGGCCTCCTGGCTGGTGGCTGGGCCTCCTGGCTGGTGGCTGAGCCTGACTGGTGGCTGAGCCTGGCTGGTGGCTGAGTCTCCTGGCTGGTGGCTGAGCCTCCTGGCTGGTGGCTGGACCTCCTGGCTGGTGGCTGGGCCTCCTGGCTGGTGGCTGGTTGGATGTTTTCTTGGAGAGTTATCCCTAAGAAGCCACCTGTGCATTCTTGTATATATGGACAATCGAACTAAATATGAAGAAGTGTCACACTTTTTATAATTGGTTTCCTACGTCAATAGTCCAATGCAAATTTCATGTTGATTTCTGAGCAAAAATACATCTACTTTATCAAGAAAATGCCCTAAAAATATATACTTGAATTAAAAGTCCTACCCGCCTCCTAAATGAAGGTTCTGCCATACAATGAAATATAAGCACTGTATAAAGCTGTGGGGTTACATAAACAACATTCCACAAATCGACATCAATTGCAATTTATTCGTGTATCACTTTTCACAGAGGCCGCAGATGCTTCAGGCATGGAAATCAAACGTTTACAGCGAGCGTGGTGGCCAACAGGATTGTCACAGGTTACAACACCCAAAAAGAGCACAGCAAGACGGTGTCGATTAAGCCTGCAGCAACCCATGGGCTAGGGCCTCCAACCTAAAAACAGACCACAAGCTGTAAGCACTGGAGCCCATCGCAGATCAGTGCTCCTCAATGCAGTTACTATAAATGCGACGGCATCTCGGAAACCCTCGCTTCTTACCTTGGGATCCAAAAGAGGGGGGGGCCGCGGAATTCATGTGATGGCAGCTAATCCTGCCTACAGCCACCTCCACTCCACGAAGCGACTGGAGGAATCCGATGAGCTATGAGGCTCTTTTTCACAGATGTCCAGTAGGGGGCGGGTCAGAAGCGGCTGTTGGTGTTGCCACCGTAGCAACAAGGAGCTCTAGTTGAGCTCGAGGCATTGAGAGATCTAGCAGCCAAGCTCATAATAAAACCATCGTCCCACACCGTAGAGCCGCGCAGGGCTGGTGCAGGTGTGTGGGACAAACCCTGGGCCATATCTTCTGAGTTTCAATAATTAGACCAGCGCACAGACACGGTGATGGAACTCATTCAGGAATTCTGTGATTCTGCTGTCCTTGTAACGCCGCTCATACGCACGGGCACATAGAACACAGGGGTCACAGCACTGCCATCATTTAAATGCCTTGCTTACCAGGTGGGCATGCATGTGCTTACATGATTGAGTTTGGTTAAGTTACTGGCAGTATTTAGTCAGGGAATGTGTTATTTCCTGGTCTATTTAGTACAGCATATACAGTGTAATAACTAAAAATCGAAAAAAAGACGAACTGTATTTCTGCAATTGCTCTTCGACAATCACGTGACGTCAGGGTCTCGTTTTTCCTCAAGGCCGGTATAATTTCCGCAATCATTTCGAACCACAAAAAAACCCCGATTTGAGAGCCAACCTCCTTTCCGACAAGACGGCGATTTTTCAAGAAGCCACCGCTGATGACGATGAGGCCGATGAGCCCAATGAGGCTTCGGACCCCCGGTGGGCAATGCGATGACGGCCAGCCCTAGGTGGCCTCCGCCGGCTGGAAGGCAGCCGGGCGGACCTTCATGCGCGCGGCGCGGTACGAGTACCACCAGCCGCGCCACGTGTACCACACGATGCCATTGTCCGTGCCCGCCGAGTAGGGCCCTCCGAGGTGGTACACGCCATTCAAATTCGCTCCGTGGCATCTGGAGGAGAGAGAGAGAAGCGGCGGGTTTTCGAGATGCCGTCGCCCACCTGCCCATCCGATTCTAGTCATGGCAAGAGCGGAGGGCAGAGGAGCATCACTCACGGCAACAAGCAGAGGCAGCTAAAACGTAGAAAGTTGGCACAGTGGAGGTGACACTTCACATGATCGCCTCGAGGTGCACCGAGCCTGACACAAGCACCCTGGTGACATCATCGCCATTTAGTGACGAATGGTTGTCATGCTATAAAACTTACGGTACCTAAATCGTACTTTTAAAAAATCTTACCTTCAGTAAACCCACCTCCTGATAAGCCTGAATTAAACTAAAAATAAACTTTTTCTTTTACCAGGTAGGGCCCACTGAGATATGTAGCTCTTTGTCAGAAGCGACCTGGGGCACAATTGATAGCTCAACGAAGTAGCTTATCACGTGTAAATGTATAGCAGCCAAATACTCTAAACGCGCGAAATTTCTACATGTGGACGGCAAAAACCGGAGAAAAACCCACGCGACCACGAATAGAACACGCAAACTCCAAATGTACACGTGTTAGGGTCGCGATGTAATCCATGACCTCCTGTATAACAGGCGATGGAATTCACATCTCGCCACTGCAACAGCGGAGGACAGAGGGGCGATGTTCACGGCAACGAGCAGAGCGCCAGGCGGCTAAAACGTCGCAAGTGGACACACTGCAGGTGACAGGCAGTGGCATCTGCCAGATATCTCCGTTAACCTATAACGCCTGTGTCTGTCCCGTGACCTGGCAGCGTGCATTTGACACTTCAAATCAAGGTGCGTCTAGCCTGGCACAACCACCCTGGTGACATCACAGCCGTTTGAGTGACGAACGGCGGTTGTTGCTGTCATGCTACGGCATCTACTGTAAGTCCTACTCTCCTGATAAGCCTCAATGTGTCAACAGAATCAACACATTTCCCCTATCCCACACTCCCACCCTCTCTATCTCTCCTCCCTGGCTCCGCTACCCCCCCCTCTCTTACCTATATAGCCTCTTGATACAAGCACCCCTTCTGCCCACTTCAGCAATTGTTTCTTGCTGTGGTTGTCCCACCTGATGACGGGTGCTTGTGTTGCGCCCGAAACGTCGTGATTTCATTTATTTTATGCCTACGTGACTTTACCGAAAGAACCAAAGAGTATGGATCAACACAACTCCCCCAACTCTGAACTGTCCACTGGACACTGAACAATATTATGATTCTGCTTATGAACCTCAATATTTTCTGCAGACGGTCTGTCAATCATAAAAGCTGAGATTTTCCTTTGCTCTGAGTTTCAGTAAAATGCGCTTATTTTCAATCAACTTGTTTGTGATTGTTCAAGTTTACAGAAGCAGCAGCGCTATGCTTTAAAACGGGCCGGACACGCTTGGTGGGACATCTTAAATGGGACCCTACATTTCTCAAAATGATGGGATTCACACGTGTTGATGGGTGAGCGTAAATTGTAGAAAAACCTCCACATGCTGGGTTATATGCTTTGGCAACGTTCAATTATGCATTGTTTTCCTTGCCAGAATCATAAATAAGTGTGCCTATTTTACATTGCTTCTCAGCGTACGTATGTGTGTTGAACTTATTTCACACCTTACGTAACCAGTGCCAACAACTGCCCAAATTCTGCGGTCCTCTATATATTAAGGTGTTATCGGTGTTATGCGGGAGGAAACCGGAACACCCGAGAAACCAAGCCACACGTGCAGGGGGAAACACGATCCCATGCATCTGTAACAAGTGGCGTTCACATTTATTGCTGTACTGGCGTCTTCTGGCAGGCCAGGGATATAGCACCTCGACGCCTCTGGCATCCTCTCGCTGCTGCTTCCAGTGCTGCTGGACGACAGGCCACGGGCATAGCCACCTTGCGCCCGGCCAAAATCCACGCATGAAGATCCTGCGCGGAGGCCACGTGGCCACGTCCCGCTACGCGAAGCCCCACGAGCATGCGATGAGTCGCGCATCGCGATGCTGCTCGGGAGCACGTGCCAGACGTGCGTGCGACGCACCTGTTGAACCACCAGCCGGCGGTGTCCTCGCGGGCGCACTGCCCCTCCTCGTAGCGGTCGCCGTCGCGGTCGCGCGTGCTGAAGGACATCCCGTTGAGGTCGGCCCACCAGCGCGTCTCGGGGTGGAAGCCGCCCGACAGAGCGTCCCCCGCCGTGCCGCCGCTGTAGGCGCCAAACGTCAGCTGGTATTTTGCCTGCAGACGGAAGGGGGGGGGGCTCGGCTCAACACGACATATGTCTTAAAATCACATGCACCGGGCCAGTCGTACCCGAATAACGTTGAGACATTCATTTCCATCAAGGCTATGCAGAAACTTCCAATCTAAAGGAAAGAATCTGCGATGCTGGAGGAGATTTGTCTGCATTTCCTCTACAATAATCCCGGCTCATGCCGCTGCTGAAGTGCAGTAGCACTCACAGGACTAGAACGTGCCCAGCACCCACCTACTACTGATCGATCTCATTTATTAAGGTAATTGGAATAGCTGTCTCAAGTGCGGTGAGCTGATAAGTCTGGCTACCAATGATTGCAACAACAAAAACGTCCGTGACATTAAATTTGGCTCTGCACTTACTTTGCCAAAATTCCAGCTCCACGCCGACAGCACGATCGTGGTAAAGTTTTGGGGGGGTGGGGGGGAAATGACGTGGAGTTAAAACATTTCCTAACATAGCACTGTCAGGGAAATGTTCATGGTGATCACCAATGTGCACTCCTCCGGTAACTCGGTTATGCCGTGATCGTGAGCGAGTGACTGTGACGCACACTGCCATTTACAGCAGTTTGTGTCCCTACTCAAATGGACAATTAAGTACAAAGTTACGGGCCTATTTTATCCTTTCAGCGGCAGAATTTTTAAACGAAAGACATTTTCGAAAGCAAACATCCACAGATTTGGCTAAAACTTGGGGAAGGAAACAAAAAAATGTACGCACGTAACAAACTGCCAACAAGTGAATGCTCACAAATGCTTTGGACAGTGGTTACGACGACGCGGCGTTTTGTGCTCCCCTGGTCGGACCTACTTTCTCATCTGCGACCCGGAACCTCTGATACTGAGCGTCGCGCTGCTCGCCGTCCCAGTCGGTGAGGTCCACCTTCAGGATGTAGTCACCTGCAGGACAGCACAGCAGCGCTTAGCCCTTGCCCGCTCCCAGCGCACGCGGCCCCAGGCACACGCGGCAGACAGCCCAGCGGCACGCCCGCGCGAGGAGGCCCACTCCACCTTTCCGTGAACAATTGCGTTCGGACCGGGGCAACTCCGCGTCCCAAGGCAAAGTGAGATGGGTGCATTCGTGGCCTCGTCCTGGCTAGTTTCCCCGCCACTCGCTGTCCACGTGCTCACCCCTTCCCTCTGTCCGACCCCTGGAGGGGACGCCTTCGCAGGACATGCGTCGAGGCGTGTCTGACGGGGGGTGGTGGTTTGGAAGTGATGTTAAAAAAAAAACTTCATTCTCCGAGGTCACTTAAAGAGATCTCAGAGGTAGCTCTTTGACATCCGCTGCCGCGGTTCGTTTTCTAACACCGCTCCATGTGAGCTCGGAATGGAACCTGCATTTCGTGGCGCGACATCAAGAAAACTCAATTGGGATCAAATTGGGTGAAACGTTACAAGTGACAATTGTTATTTACACCTGACTTTGTTCAAGACAAAGTCAGGTGTAATCTGGGGTCAGATTAGTCTGTGCCTAATATTTGATGGTCGTTGTAAAACTAACGATGGCTCCTATAATGCTACAGCTGTGGGGTTGACCTGGTCCAATGCCCATGACACAAGCTGCCAGTGAGATATGATATTTATAGGGCTTCTTAAGCTCGTGAACAATATATCCGTCAGGGAACAATGAATAACGTGACCAGCAGGGCACTAGCAGTGCTTGAAGTGATCACCTACCTTGAATGGTGAGTTGGTGTATTTTTTCATTGCCCAGCCAGTATTCGCTGTTGTCAGCCTTGAAGTTCCCAAATCCATCCTTGTATTCCTTCCATGCTCTACAATGAAAAGCAACAGAATCGGTTAAGTATACATGTTGTACGTATGTGTTTAACTTTTTTCGCACCGTACATAGTCAGCCGTGCTAATCGGAGGTGTGGGGGGAATGATAACAAGCTAAATACAAACAGAAGTTCCAAACAAATGAGTTATCAATCGATATTTTAAAGTGAACAGCTCCAGTGGCTTCTGAATATCGGAAGGAAGAACGTTCGAGACGGCCGCAGAAGCGCATCTGAAAGCTCCGCGCGATGCGGTGACTGTCTTTGTATCTGATGAAACATGAATGCGCACTGTAACCATGGTACAGTATGTGAACTTAGTGGTCGCGCTCCCTGGCTTTGGCTCGTACTTTGAGCGCGCTGCGATAAAAAAAAAACGGTGACCCGAGTTCGATTCCCGGTCACGGCTAACGTCAGCGTCGAGTGATATTGGAACTACTGCTCGACTCCCCCTTTACCAACCCACACTGACCCTTGTGGTGAAGTATAGTCAGGCAACCACCATGGCGGACAATGTGTGGAAAGAACATCCGGCAGTGAGTCGAAAACGGATTGAAAACTGTTCTTATGATTCGCGTCATATTTAAAAAAATATATAACATTACATACGCTTCCCTGTGTAGATGCTGGCTGTCACCATAGCCATGATGAATTTCCACCGCTAATGATGCAGCACATCAACACTCAATTGGCCATGGAGAACACTTTGGCTCTCATCATTATGACTGTCATTGTTACCTCGGTGGCATTTTCAGTGATGACCTCTTGACCTTGACATGGTCGTTATTATTATTGCCTACATGGAACCAGGGAGGAGGCGAGTTGGCGTGGCAAGCTCAAATGTGATTACTCTTCTAGGTTCCTACAAAGTAAACTAAAAAAACTAAATAATATTTTTTATATGACCAGGTAAGGCCCCACTGAACTATGTCACTCTTTTTCAGAAGCGACCTGGCCACAAATGATACCCCAACGAAGTGGCTTATCACGTGGACATTTATTGCAGACAAATACTCTAAAACTCGTGACGTTGATTCTAAATGTGGAGGGTAAAAACCGGAGGACCCGGAGAAAAATCCACGCGGCCACGGGGACAGAGAACACGCAAACTCCGAATACACAGCAGGCGTCAGGGTCGGGATCGAACCCACAACCTCTTGTACACCACGGCGAGGGAGTCAACATCTCGCCATCCGCGGCGCCAGCGTCTCTACGCTGTGCCCGTCCTGGCGTGAGCGCGCCGGGAGCCACCTGTTGAAGTCCACGCTGCCGTCGGTTCGACGCTGGAGCACGGTCCAGCCGCCACCGTCGGACATGTCGCAGTAAGCGGTGAAGGCGTCCGGCGCGCTGCGTGGGTGCACGCGGTAGTAGCCGCTCCGCACGCGGCCCGCGTTGAACGCCTCGGCGCAGTCTGCGGCACGGCAAGCACGGGTCCCTCGCGCTCTCGGCCGTGGTCACCACCACCACCACGACAACAACAACGCCCTGTCTGGCTCATTCAGTAAGCGCTGCAACGATTATTCAAAGAGCTTACGAGTCCTGCCCCCCTCTTCCCCCCGCTCCCTCCACTTGCTTAAGTTATTCTTCCTTCACCTTCCCATATAAGAGCACAACGCGCTCCCCGCTCTCGGGGTCCCCAACTCGGTGGGGTAAGCAGCGAGCCCAATCTCCCCCCTTCTCTAAACTCTGGTGCACAGCGTTGGGGACCTGTGTCAGCGGAGTTTCTGTCTCGCCCCTCGCTACGTCGCGGCTTGTGCTCTGTCCCGGGCTCCTACTGAATAGCACTTGAGTACAATGTACAGTCAAGTTTGTTCCGCGTTTTGTTACATTGCTGGTTCTATTCTTGCGTACGGCAGGAATACGTGCAGGAGCTCGATGCCAATGTCGAGGTCATTTTGGTGTTCCTCCTCCTCCATTGAAGGAGCGCAGACTACAGTGGTTTAGAATATGGTCCATAGTTTGAGTTGCATGACCACAATCGCACTATTGTGTCTTGAGTGTTTCACTTTCTACGTATGAGGGGCTGAGGGCCAAGGTTTACGTGCGATTTGGCATGAGGGTGTTTGACCTCACTCTGAACGCACACACTCGTGATGACTGTGGCACCACTTTGGCATTCTCACAACTTCACCCAAAAAAAATCGTGGCCGAGCACAGGGGCACACGTCCCCACGTGTGGAATTTTCTGAAGTTGTTTTTTCATTCAAGCTAATTCTACAAATTTGCCAATGGTACCAGCAACAACAACAACAACCGCCATTAGCCACGAAGTGGCGGTGACGTCACCACGACGCTTGTGCCAGGCCACGTGCACCTTGAGGCCACGTGAAGTGTCGAACGCCCGCTGGCAGGAGGTCACGGGGCAGACCCAGCAGGTGCCACGGGTCGACTGACTGAGACGACCGAGATGATTGGCTGATGCACCTCCTGTGCCCCCTACTGTGCCAACGGTACCAGCACGCACAGTGTCACCTGCGCGTGAAGCAGTCACCGCCACCCTTCACTCGAGGGGGCACAATAAATGATCCGTGGTGCTTTGACTCCCAAGCCGCTGTGACGATCGCAGTGGAGGAGGAGGGGGGGGTGGCGGGCGGGCGGGCGGACAGGCAGGCGGGCGGTACGCACCGGCGTACTCCCCCTGGGAGCCGAAAGCGGGCGCCGACCGTGGTGGCTGTGGTAGTGGCGCCGTCCTGGCGGTGCGCTCCTGGAGCAGGGCGTACGTGCGGGCGTGCGCTTCTCCGAGCGCGCGCTCCAGCGCCGTCACCTGCTCGCGGAGTCGCCGCACCTCGGAGTCGTCGCACGGCCCCGGCTCCCACTCGCCTCCCTCCACGGCGCACAAAGACAAAGATCCCCCGTGTCGGCCTTAAAGAGGCTGTTGGGGGCGAGTGCTGTCAGCGAGCGGCAATCCATGAAGGCCGGCACGGCACACGAGGGGGTTGGGTGGCCAGCGATGTTTACACACCGCGCCAGGTACTCATTTGAGGCCGAGCCGGCCTACGGGAGGCTCAGGACCGGTTCAGATAATGGTCACTGGTGTTGCCGTGAGCGGGAATCGAACTGCAGTCGCCGGGTTCTTAGCGCAGCAGCGCGCTAGTCGCTACGCCACCGCGCAGGGCCAGCGACACTTTCGCGCGGAGTTGGCAAAAAACGCGTCGGCGGCGACCATTCTTGAGCGTCGTCAGAAAAGCGCGACCGCATGGTACCCTTGGCGGTGGTGGAGGAGGGTGGAGAGATTCTCGCACGCGCTCCTCCTCGTCACCGTGCATGTTGCGTGGCGAGTGTCCCAGATTGGAGCGAGTCCGCCGGGGTGGTTGGCTCGCTCCGTACGTGTGTGGCGAACGTAGCAGACATCGGTGCGCACCTTCCGTAGCTACTGATCGGCTGTGAGGTTTTTCGGGGAGATGGGTCGACATTTTTTTTTAATGAATTTTATTAAATAACTTTTGTGGAATTTCCAGCTTAATGCCGAAATTTTGCTAAAATAAAAAAAAACAAAGATTTCCTTAAATTTGGCTGTTTTCCCAAGGGCGATTCAGAGATATGGGGTTTCTGCTAATATGTCCATGTGTGTTGGTTCTATGGCATATGCTTTTTGCAGCATTTATGCCATTTCAGTATTAATGTTCAATGCAGGTATTACATCCCCCTGCCATTTAGCTGAATATTAAACTAAAAAGTATATATATAGTTGCTCTGAACAAGTAGCATGTACCTGGGCACGTAATATATTACCCACAACTCCAATGGATGGCATAACTGCTGATGGGTTCGATGGGTATGGTTAACATCCTATAAAGACGAAGCATATGAGACTGACAACCCTACGGTAATATGTAATGCTGAACTTCTTTCGCACCGTACATAACCAATAGTGCTAATTGCAGGTGCGGGGAAGGACAACAAACTAAACACAAAAAGCAGTTCTTAACAAATGTGCAATAGAGACATTCCTGGCAGTATGGCAGGGCCAAATTCCAAATGATGCTCAAGACTTGACTTTCAATTTGGATTACCACATCTGCGCAAACTCCTCGTTTCAAAGGGGACGCTGGTGCATCAGAGCATGTTGATGAGCCTGCCCTGCGCTGCAGTCGTCATGGTTACCGTGTGAAGATGCTGTCCACGTGACACAGCGATCAGCACCAGCAGCAGCGACAGCGACCGCTGGCCGGTCATGTCTGCGGGTGCCCTGCATGCGACCACACATCGTAGCGCGATCATTCCCTCACTACGGCAAGACGGTCGAAGGCCACCCACGAGGCTTGCACGAGGGCATTGTGATGACGTCTCACATTCCATTGTGACATCACCGTCCTGACAGCGTTTGTTGCACGTTGTGCATCTCCGCGCCTGTGGAGCAGAGTTCCCTTTGTAACACGGTCAGCACTGCGGAAGTGGCCTGGAAAAAAGCCGTTTCGATGCTGCGACTCACCACGGAGGTCGGTCGAGTGTGTCGATTGATTTCATTGGCACTCACAATTGCGCAATTGTGAGCTATACTGCCTTCATCGCAAATCTCTACGGCCTCCCAAAATTCCTCACTACGACCAAAATGTCACCGCCACACCCGTCATCCGCACCCGTACGCACGAGCACATCACTCCAACAGTCAAAGATTGATCTCAGTCTTCAAGATCCTCCAAGGACTGGCGCCTGCCTATCATCTCCCTCTACTCCCCCTGCCGAGGTTCTATCCACTCCACCAAACAAGTGTGTACAGTATGCATGTTGAACTTCTTGCGCGCCGTACGTAGCCAACCGTGCTAATCGGAGGCGCGGGGGAAGGACAACCAAGGCCTTCTGTAAAAGCCTCCAGGCAACCTGCACTCACTGGGAGGTCGCTCTTCCGCTGCTGCCTGCGTCGGTGAGAATTCTCAAGGCTCAAGGTCTTCCTCGTTTCCTCCGCCTGCCTGCGACCTCCTTGTCTTGTCTATGTTCATGAATACAGCACAGCGGATATATATACAGCCCGTGCCTAATTGTTAACCGAGATGGGCATGTCCCACTGTTTTGTGTAACATTGTGATGCGATTGCCTGGAGACAACGTGTAAATAACGCATTGTACCCTGTTGCTTTGCTTGAAAGTTTAAGGTTTTTGGTCAATGTGCTCGCCATGTTTCTCCCGACACGGCCGGTGGTGGAGAGTGGACCTTGTGGGCAAACGTCCCCTCTTGCGGGAGCTCCGCTTAAACTAATTTTTTTTAAACATTGAAAATACACTTTTTTTATTTTCCCAGGTAAGGCCCACTGAGCTACGGTAGCTCTTTTTCAGAAGCGACCTTGCTATCACGAATGATAGCTCAACGAAGTTGGCTTTTCACGTGGAAGTTTATAAGCAGCGGCCAAATACTCTGAACGCGTGTTTCTAAATGTCGAGGGGAAAACCGGAGGACCCGGAGAAAAAACCAACGCGACCAGGGGGAGAGTGACATGCACACTGCAAATATACAACAGCAGCAGCAGGCGTCAGGGTCGGGATTTAACCCACGACCTCCTGTATACCAGGCGAGGTAGTCAACATCTCGCCAGAGTGGCGCCCTGTTGAGCTTATGAATACTTCACACCCGGTCAGGATGCACCCACAGGACAAACCTCCATCAACGACGTTCTGTGCTCAAATGTAAAAATATGGCATTCTGAATTCAATTCACGTGGCCCTGAATGCCGAGGTCAACTTTTAAACGAAACATTTTATTTTAGTAAACATTAAAAGCTCAAACTCTCTGTAAGAGAATGTTTATGAATTTCAACCATCAGTGACTCTGCTGAGCACTAGCATCAGTCTTTACCAGCGAGATATATGAACTCCTGTACAAACATGTACAAGCAGGGGCGGCCCTAGGCTAGCTGCCAACATCTGATGCCCGAGGCGAACCACGCAATCGGCGCCCCAACCGGCAAACCCCAAGGGCAGATCTAGGCTGAGGCTTTTTTGGTAAACTGGGAAACATTTTGCTCCTATTTTTCCTTACTTTTTAGTCAGTATATATTTTCTCAACAGAGGCATGATTATTCGGATTGTCCGTCCGTCCGTCCCTCTGTCCAACCAATACATTCTCAGAAATGTTAAGAAATGAATAATATTCTATTTTTATTGTTTTGTTTGTATTATTTTATTATTTCTCTTCTACGTGGTGACTTTACCGAAAGAACCAAGAATATGAATCCCTGCAGTCACGAAAGCTTTAAATCGAAATGAATTCTAATGAATAGTCCTTTTGTACGCGCGCGAGAATTTCAATAATGACATCTTGGTAATTATTTTATTTGTGTATCTACTTCCTCCGAATTTGGCGCCCCACCTAATTGGCGCCCTCGGCGACCGCCTATAGTTCGCCTGTATGGACGGGCCTCCCCTGCTCGCGAGATAATCAAGCACGGCGCTCGAGTCGGCACGATAACGCATAGCAATACTATTGCTCGACATGCTTTTAGGATTTGCATTATCGAAATGTTTTTCCGAGTCCTCTTTACGTTGCGACCCGGGTGCGATATTTTTATTGAAGAGTTACATAAGCTCCATAGGAGAGGTTTTATTTTGGGTTCGATCGCGTAAATATAAATGCGTCGTTGAACCCACCACCACCCAGTAAGGCCTGTCACCTAAACAGAACGTGCCAATGTGTTACTAGTTCAGCACACCGGTGTGTTGGAGAGTAACACACAACATTTACAATTCGAGAACCGTGATATTGCGCCGGTAATTACAACAACCAGCATCATCAGGCGACAGCCAGAATTCGTGGAGAATCCCTCCTGTTTCGCGAAAGCCGACACGTGTTAAACGCTGTGAGCTGTCTGTCCGCAGTCCCTCCAAATGGGTGAATTCTCAAAGAACGTCTCAGCCCCACAGCGAACGCGATCGTGAGCGGCTCTGGGTGCTGTACCTCACGGTGCAGCCTGCGACTCCGCTGAGCTGGAAGAGGAGCAGCCCTTGCTCTCCGATGTGACCACAATCGGCCGAATAAACAGCGAGGCCCAGATCCCCCCCGAGGGCAACGTTAACCAAACTTGTTTGGTTAACGCCAATCACTCGGCCAATGCAAACATTTCCACCGGACCACCCAGCCCCCCCCCCCTTCCCCTGGTGATGAAACGCATTCACTACTCCTCTCTCTCTAGACACCAGGAATACAAAATGAGTCGTGATGGAAACGTCAGAATAGGTTTTACCCTTTTCTGGCAATATAAAACAGGTGTTCAAACACCTTTTGGAAGGTATCAAGTCTGTATTAATAACACGTAATTGTGGGGAAAAAACATTCAAACAAACATGATCTGACAATATACTTATTGTGTTCGAAACTGATTGGCCTGCACCAGAGACAACCTTTTTTAAGGCCTTGCCCCACCAGTGTCAGACCAGAGAACGCCAAAAGCCGAACAGTACAAAGACAATGCAAGTGTCAGAGCATGTATCGCTCGGGTGGAGCAGTTATATCATTTGGACCTTTTGACAGTATCAAAAAAGATGAAAAAATAAGAGTAGATTTTCACCTTTCTAGCATTAGAACAGGTGTTAAGATGTTCAAACACCAAATAAATAATGTTTGCAAGGCATCAAGTCTGCATTAACCACACAGTACTTGTGGAAAAACATGCAAACAAACATGCTCTGAAAATATATGCATTGTCTTTGAAACTTCATCATATTTATTGGAACTTATTGGCCTGCGCCAGAGACAGCCTTCTTTGTGGCCGTGTCTCACCAATGTTAGACCAGAGAACACCAAGAGGTTAACAGCACTAAGAGAATGCAAGTATCGGAGCACTTAATGTTGGCTAAAATGTGCCATAAATAAAATTATTCATGTTACCGGATCATTAAAACATATTTTTAAACACAGCTATAAGGGTTTAGTGGGGGTATTTAGATTTTATCCCACCATTACATATACCCGTAAAACCGACACTTTACTTACCTCATCCACTCCCATTTGCCATGCTGATGGGACGAATGGTTTCTGCTTTTCACGAGACACCAGGGATTTAAACCCCAAATCGTATAATTTCGAAATGTTTATTAAAACGATTACAATTCTCATACATTAGCAACGATCAGTGGCATTTCGATAAAAGAATATTGCCTACCGATTTAGTTTGTTTTGATAACTGATGTGTTGAATTATTATAGCTGCCTTTAAAGACACGTGAGTAGAATGATTATCGGAAATGTAAGAAACTTAGGTTCTAACTAATTATTCACGTGAGTACGAAAATTGTCGGGAAAAATAATACGGTACTTTTGTACCAAATTATTTTGTACCGTAGCTGACGAAAAAATATCGTACCGTAATATTGTACCGTACTTAATTAAAAAAAAATACCGTTCCGTAATTTCGCACCGCAGTGCCATCCTTGCTTACGACATGAGTCCGAACACATTTGAATGGAGTGGCTCTGGTTTTCCGACGTGACTTGACGTGGAACTTTTGTTATTCTAATGTGTATTTTTTGTCGATATCAACCTATTAAACCCTATATTCTTGGTTCTTCCGGTAAAGTCACGTAGAAGGGAAACAATAAAATAATAAAAATATAAAACATTAATATTCTCACGACGTTTCGACTGCAACACAAGCAATCTTCATCAAGTGTGAACACCACAGCAAGAAAAAAATGAAAAAGTGGCTTTTTTAACGTTAGCACCACAGAGAGCGATTTGACAGTTATTCAGATGGACGAGTCCATCTATGTTCGGAAAAGAGGAGGGGGGAGACGAAAATAATGGATACGGTCTGAAAGCCACCGTGAGCGTGAACAATCAATTAAGACCCGAAATGGTTTATCAAATCCTTCCAATGATTGCTAAGACACAATTAAACCCTGTTAAATATGGCTGAGAAAAGCAAAAACACATCGGCAAGTGATGTCTCTACTGTGTGTACTGTCTATGGGAATGTAGGCTCCGATTAACGACGCGCTGTGTTGTAAAAGTGGGCACCGCTTGTGCTGACACAGCATGCTTTTGATGTACGTTCTGTACAGATCTGGCCACGGATTTAGAGAGAGAGTATCCATCACAGGGAAAAATATGTTGTTCATGACTACTAATGCTCCCTGCCCATAGCTAGCTAGCTAACTACTTTATAGTTATTTACCACAGCAGACCAACGTTACTGTGTAAGCTAGGGAAAGAGATGTTGTTCATGACTACTAATGATGCCTGCCCATAGGTAGCTAGCTAGCTAACTACTTTATAGTTATTTATCACAGCAGACCAACGTAACTGTGTAAGCTCGCTAACTAGACGTTTTCTTTCAGTGGCACCTTCATAATTATACACGTGGAATAACTTGTAGCGGACTTGCTATGATGGCTAACAAATGTACCTCTGGGGCTTATACCTTGATGCTAGGCAAGTGTCATCATTATTAGGTCGAGATCTATGGTACTAGGCTGGGGAGACGTCACATTACCGCATTCAATGGCATTAGCGCTAGTGACCATTAGCTTGATGAATGCACTTTCATCTCGGGAGGCTCGCAGTACGCTTGACGACTCGTTACCACGTGGCCTTTTGAAAAACCTTGACAGACAAAACTTTTGCACAATTAAAGTGCAAAATGGAATGTACGTCCCAGGGCTGCTGTCTCGGCTGGCTTATTCGAGAAAATCAAACGAAGGCAATCAAATATACCGTACATCGAATGCAATCCGTCCTTTCATTACGCCAACCCAGGGGTGGGCAACTAAAATAACAAGAGGAAAAAAAATAATTTGGAATTCAGTAAAAAAAATAAAAACCTCAATAGTTCAAGAGCCGCAATGCACTGTGGTGAATATGAGACGATGGTCCTTAATAAATAATAATGTCAAGAAGCACTCCTTAATGAGCCGCACGTTGCCGACCCTGGACTCCCATGGTAAACTGGACATCCATGGTGAATTGAACTTCCATGGTGAACTGGACTCCCATGGTGAACTGGACTCCCATGGTGAACTGAACTTCACTGGTCAACTGGACTCCCATGGTGAACTGAACTTCACTGGTCAACTGGACTCCCATGGTAAACTGTACTTCCATGGTGAACTGGACTCCCATAGTAAACTGGACTTCATGGTTAACTGGGCTTCCATGGTCAACTGGACGTCCATGGTGAACTGTATACCCATAGCGAACTGGACTTCCATGGTAAACAGTACTTGCACGGTAATTCGGTAAAATAAACATTTCAAGAGCCGCAGTGGACGTGAAGAGCGCCACGAAGCAGTCCTCACAGAGCTGCGGGTTTCTGACGCCTGCGCCAGCCTCATTTGACTGGTTGACTATGTCACCAACCATAACATGGCCCTTTATGCGCGATGCACTGCAGTATGTGAAATGCGAAAACAGCCATCAGGATGCCAATAACGATTTGAGACTAAAGTAAGAGTGTGTGTGTCATGGACCCTCCCCTTTGCCAGTACCAAAACATGAGAAGAGGTTTTCCCCTTTTTTTCTGGCAACAAAACAGCTGTGTTAAGATCTTATTGGTTCTTTCGGTAAAGTCACGTAGAATGAGAATAAAACAATAAAGCAAAATAAGACAATAAAATTCTCACGACGTTTCGGCCACAACACAAGTAGCCTTCCCCCTACCTCCTCGCGGTGCCGGACGGGCAACTCTGTCGTGGACAGCGCTGTGGGGGGAGATCCAATTTTGATTGGCTCCTCCCCTCATGGCATATGTGTCCACCACAGGGGCTAAACGGGGGCTCTGGACGGGTGCGAGGGGCTGGTAACCCCTCCACCTTCAATTAATTACCACGAAACTACGAATTAAACTGAAATATGTAACAACTAAGCTTGTGCCGGAGGCCCCGGGGGGCCAGGCGTCTATGACGTCTCCTGGCCAAACCCCAATTGGCGGAGCCAGGAGATTGAATACCTACCCTCGGGGCTACTCCAGAAACAACGAAAAGCCACTACGGGTGGCCACGTGGAATGTTCGAACGCTCACTGCAGAGGAGAGGCTGCCACTCCTCTGTCGGGAGCTGGACCGGTACCGCCTGGATCTATGCGGCATTCAGGAGGTCCGGTGGACCGGCTCTGGCTCCTGCCACCATGAGGGGTGGACAGTCCTCTACTCGGGGCAGCAGACTGCCAAACAACAGGGTGTGGGTCTTCTTTTGAACAAAAGAATGAAGGGGGCGTGGGAGCGTGGCGGTGAGGTGTGGGAAGCTGTAAGCCCCAGGCTACTTTGGGCTCGCCTTCCCATCAACCGGAGGCGAGGAATGGTGGTCGTGGTTACTTATGCCCCCACCGAAGATGAACATCCGTGGAGGGATGCAGGCAAAGCCGATGAGTCAGATGCCTTCTATGACCTCCTGTCACAGGTGCTGGCTAAAGTGGCCCCTCGGGATAGAGTCATCATGTTGGGTGACTTCAATGCCCGAGTTGGTCATGATACTGGCACCTGGTCTGGAGTGATTGGAGGGCATGGGCCAGATCAGCTCAATAACAACGGTAGGAGGCTGCTAGATTTTTGTGCAGCCCATGGGCTTGTAATTACCAACACGCTGTTCCGGCATTGGCGCATCCACACAACATCATGGATGCATGCCGGGTCCAAGCAAGAACATCTGCTGGACTACATAGTGACGGACCAGCGAATGCGAGCCCATGTCCTTGACACCAGGACCTACCGTGGAGCTGATCTTCCCTCTGACCATCGACTAGTCATCTGTAAGATGCGCCTGCCATTCTTCCACTCCAGTGGTGGGTGTACACCTAGGACCCCATTCCAACCTAAAGTGGCCTGGTCTCAGTTATCTGATGAAAGTTGCAAGCGAGAATTTCATCATCGCTTGCGGCTGGGATTGGCATCGTCCCCGACTCCTCCTGATGTCGAGGGTAAATGGGCGAGGTTTAGGACTGTGACTCATGCAGCTGCAATGGCTGCTTTGGGTACGCGGTCCAGACCTCCCCAGACACCCTGGATGACAGAGGAGTTGTTCACGATGGTTGAGAAAAAGCGACAGGCCCACTGTCATCGGCTACAGAATCCCACGTCAGAGAATGAGGAGGCTTACCGCAGCCTTCGCTCGGA